AGTTAAATGTTGTGATTAAATCACTATGTTTCTCCTTTCCTGTTCATACATGTCAATCAAAAGTTTTTAAAATCTAAACATTTACTACAGAGAATGTGATAAAGCAGTAAATTATATATCAAAGAGGGCAGAAGAGGGTAGAAAGAGACGTGGCAGTAGCATGAATCCATATTAACCAGGATCCTTCACCAAAGATTCAGTGGCCCCAGGAGAGGCCTGAAGCCTAAACCCTGAATGGGGGAGAAGCACACTGGACGCCACTGTGTTGTTTGTGTTTTGCTTCTCCATTCTTCATTCTTAGGCTAAGCGTTGGTTGTTCCTTTCTCCACTGCCTTGAGTATAGTTTCTGCAATAATATATAAACTCTACATAGGGAAACCAATGAAACATACAACGAAGCATTAGAAACATGAGCTGGGCTAACTTCTCAGGAGAACCTGAAGAGTTCTTCTCAAAAGTCATAACATCCCTTAAAAGCAATGTTCTTCCCATAGCTGGTCTGGAACACCCATGTTCCCTATGCACCTTAGTTGCGTTCCAACCATTTTCACATGTAAAACTGAGTACCTAAGACATCTAGTACTTTGCTCCAGGAGCTACTTGTACTCTGTTGCTAAATAACTGTGAAGAAATACTTCAGCAATTTTGTTCCTAATAGGTCGGTAAATTAATTAATGACAGCCAAGTATTCATTCTTACTTTTTCCTAATTCCCAGATGCATGATATTTGTAAAAGATTCTGTTTGCTCCAATAAAAGGATTTTGATTTCTTTACCTCTTGACCTCTAATGAGATCTTTTAAGGAAGATGTCATTTTCTGTCTTCTCATCTATGTCTTTATTCCAATTCATCAAATGAAGCTTACAGAAACCTCAGTGAGGTTCTGGTTGTAAAATTGGAGTTATGTCACTGCTATTAGCTTTTGCAACCTTCATTAGTATTTATGAATGTGAACCCAGGCAGTGCAGTAATATTTCCATTACAGAAAGCCGATGTAGAGCCACATTATTGCCGTACCTAAACTGAACTTGATAGGAAAAAATAAAGAACCGATTTAATTTTCTCCTGCCATTGACCTATGATATTTTTAAGGCATAGACTTGTCTCAGTGCTACTAAATGGGCCCTAAGAGAGCTGGTCACCTTGGTACAAAACCTTCAAATAAATTTATTCAAAACTGGGGTCAGAATTAATTGGATAACAGGCTAAATTGAGAAATCATTCTCCTGACCAGAGGCCAGGACATGCTCCTTCTCAAAAATGAAAATCTGTTTTGAGACACTAGAATAGTGAGAGATGTGAAATTAGATTTTGGGAAAAAAATATAAGCCCCTACTCTTCCAGCTCTTTTTTCCTCCTTTAGTATGTGCTCTTTCATTCTGTTACAACAACAACAAAGAGTGAAGTGATTTATTTTTCCATTTCAAATGATGCTTAGTCCCATCGGTGAAATTCAACTTGAGAAACAGGAAACTCCCCAGAGCTTCCTCCCTCTAAAGAACTATGCAACTGATCTCCAGAGAACTGTGGCTCTGGTTCACTGGACTTAAACATTTCCCAGGTGAACCATTTGACTTAGAAGCAACTCTAAAGGCATCAGGAAAGCAACAGGATCAATCCCATAGGGTTTGAAGTTGCTCTATTACTTAAAATCACCCCAACAGCAATTGTAAAAGAGCTCAGTGTTCTCACCTGCCTCCTCATAAGCAGGTCAGTGACATGGTTGGAACAACCACTCAAGACTGTGCCATGGACAGACATTCCCCTCTTCTTTCTGTTTTTATTGTTTCTCACCCTATAGACACAGAGACCCCTTATTCAAAATTAAAGATCAAGGCACATGTAGTTAAAGGTAACACACAGTAAAAGGTAAAATTATGTCAAAAACCAAAATTCCATCAAAGTATCATTTGTCCATCACCCACTTATCAAGCACTTATATTTGCAATAGTATCATCTTCATACTCATTTACTTTGGAAGCTACATTCCCTGACCTTGCTCAGTGACTTTTTTTTTTTAAAGATTTATTTGTACATACAGAACTGGGGTACAGGCCAGAGGCACAGAAGTGGTGAGAGAATTCACCACAGACAGAGTGTGGAGCAGAACAGGCAGATCGACGAAGTACACTGCTGAGGGGAGCAGCAGGCGGGTCAGGAGAGGTCTGCCGCGCCATGTGGGTCACCTCCGGGACAGGCAGGGATCGAACTCATGTGAAAGTGGCTTAAGCTTCTTAGTGCTGTGCTTTAACCCACTGCGCCACCAGGGAGGGCCTCAATGACTATTTTTTAATTTTATTTTTATCAAAGTAATACATGTGCAAAACTTTTACATGAATTTAAAAAGATTATAAATAGAACAGCAGAGTCTTGTGTCACCTTTCCCAGGCCAGGTCTCCTCCCGACAAATACTCATTTTGCCTTTGCTAATAACATCCTCCTATTTCCTCTTTCTCGCCTTCCGGAACACCTACTGAAGGTTGAAATTCCAGAATGATTCTCTAATTCTCCTATTTTCTGTGTTTCACCACAGCATTTTGGTTAGGACATAATCATTCTCTCAAAGTTATTTTTCAGTTTTCATGTTGAATTTCTATTTTTGCTCTTTAATTTAAAAAATCTTATTCTTGTTTTCTGGCTGCTTCTCTAAGAATATACAGTATTCAACCTATAGATGTAATATCATCTTTATCTCTCTGAACACCCTGATGTTTTAAAGCTTTTTGTCTTTTACTCCCTACAGAGTCTGTACACTAAGCTTCTTTTTCTTTCTTCTTTAGGTTAGAAGCTTGATTGTGAATTTCCATTTTCCTTTGTTATTTAATTTTGGAATAGGCAGTACATTCACTAGTTTTCAAAATGCATAAAATAGTTCATTAAAAATTTCCTTCTTGAGCCTCCCTGGTGGCTCAGGGTTTTAAGTCTCAGCTCTATCAAGCTACCAGCAGCCTCTGCAACATGAGGTCAATCCCCCACCAGGGAGCTAACAAACCACATGGCTCGGCAGGCCTCTCCTTTCTGGCCCAGAGCTCCCCTCAGCAGTATATTTCGGTAAGACTACCTGTTCTTCTCCCCACTCTGTTTCTGGTGAATTCTCTCACCCCCCACATCTCTGGCCTATACTCCAGTTCTTATATGCATATAAATAAATCTTTAAAAAAATTCCTTATCTTTCCCAGGAACCTGCTCATTTCCTATATCTTACCTATTAGTGGCCAAAATTCTCAAGTTTCCTTTCAGAGTTCTTTATGTAAAGAAAAGAAAAATGAATAGGTTCATCTATTTTCCCCATGCACATACAAGATAGTATATTAAATGAATCATATTACACATTGCCTTTTAACCCATATCAATATGAGTTTTAAGTGTCTTTATATCTCCATATTATGTGGCCATATTCATTATCACTAAAAATCATTGATTAGCGACTAAGTCATTTTCATGTTTGGTTCTTATAAATAATCTTGCAATAAACAATATTGTGAAAAGATTTATATCACTCATATGCAAGTATACCTGTAGGATACATTCCAAAATTCAGAGTTGCCAAGTCAAAACTAATATGCGGGCCCTCCCTGGTGGCGCAGCGGGTTAAAGCACAGCACAAAGAAGCTGAAGCCACTTCCGCATGAGTTTGATTCCCGCCTGCCCCAGAGGTGACCACATGGCTGGCAGACCTCTCCTGACCCGCCTGCTGCTCCCCTCAGCAGTGTACTTGGTCAATATGCCTGTTCTGCTCCCCACTGTCTCTGGTGAATCCTCTCACTCTCTGCATCTCTGGCCTGTACCCCAGTTCTGTAAGAATAATCTTAAGAAAAATCTTAAAAAAAAAAAAAGACTAATATGCATTTGCAATTTTGAAATTTTTTGTGAAATTGCACTCCATTGGAGGTTTAACAATTTATATATCCAAGAGAAATTTACAGGAGTTTATTATTTCCTGGAACCTCATTAACAGAACATATATATAAATACAAAATAGGTCTAACTTTAGGTGTTCTTTTTTTGTTGCCTTCAAAACAAAAAATTATAAACTTGACCATTTAGAGCAATATAAATTTATTATCTCATAGTTCTGGAAGTTAGATCCAAAAATGATCCAAACTCTATCTCTAGGGGGCTAAAAAGTAAAATGTTCTCAGTGAAACATTCCTTTGATGAGGACACAATTCCTTTTTTATTTCCTTGCCATTTCTATCTTCCAGAGAACATCTTTAAAGGATCATTGGTTTGCCTGTGACGACTTGTATTTTTATTTTGACTAATATTAAGTATATTTTCATGTGTTTAAGAACCATTTGTTTTTCCTCTTAATGAAAACCCTTTTCATATTCTTTGACCATTTTCAACTGGATTAAGAAACTCTTTTATACAAAGACTATCATATTATCTGTAATATTAACTGTATCCAAGCCTGTGATTTGTAGTCCTATTATTTATGCTGGATGTTATTTAGAATTTGTTTTAATTGCAAATTCTATTTTATGCATGCATGGTACAGACCAAAGATGCAGGGGCGGCAAGAGGCTTCACCAGAGACAGAGTGGGGGAGCAGAACAGGCAGATCAATGAAGTACACTGCTGAGGGAGCAGCAGGCGGGTCAGGAGAGGTTTGCGTACCATGCGGACCTGGTATCCAACTTGCACTGAAGCGGCTGCAGCTAACTTGCAGTGCTGTGTCCTTACCCGTTGAGCCACCAGGGAAGGCCCTTACTCCTAATTTAAAAAGACTTTCTCATGCTCAATTTAAAATTATTCTTTATTTCTAAAATTGCCCTTTATTTTTCACATATGAAACTTGACCCTTCTAGTAGTTATTTGAGTATAAGTTGCAAAATTTAGATCCAGTATCTCTTTTTCCTATTAACTGAAGTGGAGATAAAGAAATTCTCAGCGGTGTTTTCAGTCTTGCTAAGTGTATGACATAAAGTAATTGACTGGTCACACCTACGATACCTAAACGGTGTTCTTTTTTCTTTCTTTCACTTTACCTGTCACAGCTCCATTCAATCCAAATAAAGGTGCAGATAGCATTGTCAAGTTTGACGCTTTTGGAGATGGAATGGGACGATACAACGTGTTCAATTTTCAGAACGTGGGTGGCAAGTATTCCTACTTGAAAGTTGGCCATTGGGCAGAAACTTTATCACTAGATGTGGACTCTATCCATTGGTCCCGGAACTCAATCCCCACTTCCCAGTGCAGTGACCCCTGTGCTCCCAATGAAATGAAAAATATGCAACCAGGGGATGTCTGCTGCTGGATCTGTATCCCCTGTGAGCCCTACGAATACCTGGTGGACGAGTTTACCTGTATGGACTGTGGCCCCGGCCAGTGGCCCACTGCAGACCTCTCTGGCTGCTTTGATCTTCCCGAGGACTACATCAGGTGGGAAGATGCCTGGGCCATCGGCCCCGTCACCATCGCCTGCCTGGGTTTTATGTGTACATGCATGGTTGTGACTGTTTTTATCAAGCACAATAACACACCCTTGGTCAAAGCATCTGGCCGAGAGCTGTGTTATATCCTGTTGTTTGGGGTTGGCTTATCATACTGCATGACGTTTTTTTTCATTGCCAAGCCATCACCGGTCATCTGTGCCCTGCGTCGGCTGGGCCTAGGGACCTCCTTTGCTATCTGTTACTCAGCCCTGCTCACCAAGACAAACTGCATCGCTCGCATCTTCGACGGGGTAAAGAATGGCGCTCAGAGGCCAAAATTCATCAGCCCGAGTTCTCAGGTTTTCATCTGCCTGGGTCTGATCCTGGTGCAAATTGTGGTGGTATCTGTGTGGCTCATCCTGGAGGCTCCAGGCACCAGGCGGCACACCCTTCCGGAGAAGCGGGAAACAGTCATCTTAAAATGCAACGTGAGAGATTCCAGCATGTTGCTCTCCCTCACCTACGACGTGGTCCTAGTGATCCTATGCACTGTGTATGCCTTCAAAACGCGGAAGTGCCCGGAAAATTTCAACGAAGCCAAGTTCATTGGCTTTACCATGTACACCACGTGCATCATCTGGTTGGCCTTCCTCCCTATATTTTATGTGACATCAAGTGACTACAGAGTAAGTCTTTAAATAGCTTCATTTCCTTCTTTTATCCTGTTCATGTTTTGTTGTATAGGATATAAAATAAACTCCCTTTACTTCTTATCAGCTATTAGACAATTACAAATGACATGAGGAGCCACCAAAATGTATATGTAAATTTATTCAATATCTTAAAAGCATTTAATTAGTGCCTACTGTTTGCAAAGTACTATCCTCAGCACAAAGAGGAAGATAAATGTAAAGGACATGGTCATTCAAGCTATTTATAGTCTAGTGACAGAGAAATATAATTTGCATTATAAACACATAGAACATTTTTTTTTAATTTATAAGGTGATTGAAAAGAGAATTAAACTAAGAACTTAATGAAAATACTTTTGACACAAAAGGATCTGGCCACTCCATATCAATTTTTAAATTAAAATAAACTTTAGATCAGTTCAAAGATCTAAAAGCTTTCACTCAAGCTTCAAATAAGTACCATTATTTCTTTAAAATGGATTAAAATACTATGTGAGTTTGCTACACTTTTTTGACAACTTTAGTTCCTGTGGATGCATAATCTTTATATTAATTATACCTAAGTTAGCTAATTGGACCATTATTCATAGTCTTTTATAATGTATAGCTCTAATTTCTAGACATCAGTATAATCATCATCGCTTCTGAAAGTAACAGTTCCTCATCCCATTAATTTCTCAAATTGTTGGGATCATCTATCAGTTGCTTTTTCATTTATAATTAATTCTGACTTTAGTACCTTGCAGTAAGTCAGTTGATCTTTAGTCTCCATGTTTCTAAAGATCTCACTAGACTGAAGTTTTCCAAAGCTACACAGGTGTCCTTATTACACCATGAGTTCACAAAATGAAGTGCCTCTGTGGGTTATAATAGCCCCCAAATCTTTTTTATTTTTTTAAGATTTATTTTATCTGTTTATGTATACAAGAACTGGGGTGTAGGCCAGAAGTGGAGAGTGGTGAGAGGATTCACCAGAGACAGAGTGGGGAGCAGAACAGGCAGACCTACTGAAACAACACTGCTGAGGGGAGCAGCGGGAGAGAAAGGAACAGTCTGCCGTGCCATGTAGGTCAGCTCCGGGCAGGGATCGAGGATGGAACTCAGCTGCGGTGGCTGCGGACAATGCTAACATCTTAACCCCTGTGCTATAAGAGAGGGCCCAGCCCCCAAATCTTGTTTACTAGTAGTTCCTACCTTGACAAAGTCTAGACTATCACAACTCAAAAAGAACATGGTTACTTAAAATTTAGAATCAAGAGAGTAACAAACATTAATGCATTTAACCTTTAATTATTCATAATAATATAACTGAAACCTATTGAGTACACTAAAGGGTCAGCAAGAAAAAGAAAAACAAATTTGATATTAGAGTAATGGCCAGGTATTCTAAGACTGTTAAAAATTTATTAAAATTTTTGAAAATATGTGCAAAGGTAATACATCTGAGCTGGATCAGCAAAACCAAAGATTAGAATTTCTAAACACAGGGAAATATGAACCTTTAGAATACAGAGATTAAAAATGAAGAACTATAGATGACATATCTTAATCCCCCCATTTCAATCTTTTGTCTTTTTAGACATGATATCTTTGTAGACCAATAGGTATTTTTAAAAGTCTATACTTAGTAAGCCATCCTTAGAAGAGTTGATTTGGGGTAATAAGATTGAAAATAGTTACAATAGTAATTATTTTGCACTGGACATTTGATTTCAAACTATTCATTCTAAAAATAACTGATTAAAAATACTACAGGAAATAAACAAATGGTGTTCTAAAAAAGTGTACTGAAGAAATGAACATTTATTTCTAACACACAAAATAAAGATTTGTTTCCCTCTTAAAATGATAGCAATAGAGTAACTCAATACAATTAGCTGATGATACCAGAAGTTTCATCACATAGCAAGAATAAGATGGTAAATGGGGCAGGTTGTAGAGTTGAGTGTTTTAAAGTCCACACTAATTAAGGCATCCAGTCACAGCAAGATCAGCTGAGACCTTGCTTACTTGATACAAATAATGCCAATCTTAAATTTATAAACAAAATGAGAAAGTACACTACACCTCCAATCCAGTAGATTTAATTGGTCTTGTCTGTAGTCTACACAGCATAGCTCTAGTTTCAACCCAACTAAAAAGCCCTGCTTCAATGAATCACGTGTTCTTTCTGTCCCCACAGGTATTTTTAGTTGGCTGCACTATTTTGAGATTCTTTGAAATATTTGTAAAAGTTAGAGACTTAAAATACAAATATCCACATTCTTGACTTCTCTTAACACATTAAAAGACATGTGCCAAAGTCCCTTCACACAGCAATAAACTAGATCTTAGTGCTTCTGCTTCTGGCCAGGGCAGTCTCACTCCTGCTGCCCACATGCCCACCAGCTGCTGAATTCCTATACCTGATTGCCTTTATGTGTGAACACGCATGGACCCTAAAGGCATTCAAATTTGAGACCCTTGTTCTAGAAATTCCAGAGCAAAACTGAGATCTAAATTTTCCCAGAGGGAAACCATGTGGCTCAGATAAAATTAGCAGCACTACTAAGGGTAGCTAAGAGAAATGTGGGCATCAGTCAACAAGTGTATGACTCATCACGTTACCACCCATTGTGAGTTATAAATAAAAGTAAACCACTATTTCAGTGTACAAAAAAAAAACTTATAACCCAGCTGGGAAAGAAATAACAAGCATGAAAGAACTCAAGATTAACCCAAAATCATTTATAATTAAGCTGGTTATACAATCTGTTTAATGCCTATGGATTTCAAAGAAAAGTTGGATTAGTAAGATCTTGGTCTTTCCAGGAATACTTTTTAAGTAGTAGGATTTCATTATGTAACTTTCTGAGAAAGTACAATTATGGTAGCTTGAGAATTTAGGGCATAGAGGGAATTTTCTAGAGCCAAGACAACTCAGTGCTAAGGAGGACTCAGTGTTATTGGTCTCACTCAAGTGGAAGATGGATTGGAGGTGTCTAATGAGAAACTAACCAATAGGTGAGATCATACCAGGTACAGGAGTTCATTCAAATAATGTTAGGGATTGGACATCTTCCAAGTTTTTTATTTTTGTATCCTTGTGGTGGGCGCTTGCTTAGGTACAAAGTCACGTGGTGAAAGCTAAGCAGGAAAGAGAAGAACTAGCCCTGCCTGGGCAGCTCTGAGCCATTATTGTGCTAAATGCTTTGCATACATGAGCTCACTTATCCTCATTAGCACCCTGGGAAGCAAATTTTATTATCCATTGGAAAGATGAGTATATAGACTCAGAGGATAATTAACTTCCCAGGTGGCATGATTGGAAATAGTGTTTTTTCTGATACAAATCTATGCCCTTCATATTGTACCACAATCTTATCTATCCTTACTATGGGAGATTTGAAGGAGCAGAGCCCAAAATAAACAGAATTATTAGCACTATTTTAGGCATCCAAGATAGAGCAAGCAGGAACTTGGGTAAGAATCCAAAACTTCAAAGGATCTTTGAGAAATGTCCAGGCTGTTTCCTTCTGTATCACAATAAAATTATCCCAGATAGTTTAAGCCATCACCAATCTATGACATCATTTAAATGGTGTAAACAAAAACCAGGCCACTTTTGAAAGGAATTAATAGTAATTCATGAGTGTTTTGTTCAATCACATCTTCCAAATTTATGCAAGAAATTATTAAGGGCCTTGATGATACTGCTATTGATATAGACAAGTTTCTCCTTTTTATAATTTATAGATTAGTGGGCATGAGGCCAGGATAGAGTTAATAATGGATGAGTGAAAATGCAGGGTAACTCATGCAGTGGTAAGTGCTATGATGGAAGAAAAGAAAGTTATGCTATTATAATGCTTCTCCAATTGAATGTGTATACAAATTATCTGAGAGTCTTGCTAAAATAACTATGATTCTGGAGGAAAACAATGGGGCCTGCAATTGTGGATTTTTAACAGAAGATCCCCAGTGGCAGACATGCTGCTAGGCAAAGGAGCACACAGAGGGTCACATAGCCGGAGTGTCAGTATGTACAGAAGTTCCCCAAATCCCATTTTCCAGCAAATGGCTAGTGCCTGAGCCACGTTAGGACCGGAGCAGGGCCACTGCGCTGCCTTTTCTTCCTGCCTTGTGACTGAATATGCCACAGCACAGCACTATTACTTTTATCTTTATGGAAATCTCAATATTGTATTAAGAATGAGCTATTAGCCCATTTTAATTTTCATTTTAAAAAATATTGCCAAATGTAATGTTTGTCTTGATTTCTGAGTATTTGGAGCCCCTTAAATTTGCATCTCAAATGTCTATCTTACTTGCTGCATTCTAGCCCCGGTCCTGCCTTCCTCCATCATTGTTTCTATTTTGAGACCCCTTTATGCAGAAGTCAGAATCACACGGCCTCCCGCTGGGGACATAAAGCCTGTGCTCTTCAGCTAACTCGATTTTGGTACAGCAGCAACATTTCTGTTAGGGATCCACCAAAGTCCGTGGTGTCACTCACTGTCTCATCATGAAATATCTCTCAGGATCTTGCCTGGTATCAATAGATGGGCTAGGAATAACCACTAGTCCTATGGGTTTCTCTCAAATCTTATTCATCAGTCCATGAGGCCCTCATAATTCCTCTCTGGAAAAAAATCTGGAGTTGCAGCTAATTGCAAGAGTTTTTAAAGGTTTTATTTTTTTGTTTGTTTGTTTGTTTCCTGCAATCTCATCCTTTGGTTCAGTACATTTATCCACATTTGAGAGCCCACTTAGGTCAATAAAAGCCCAAATGCTCAGTGTTTCATCTATGATTTCTCAGAGCAATTTATGCTCAGGAAAATCTGGCAGATAGGTCCACAAATCCCTTTTCACAGCCAGGTCCCACAGCAAAAAAATAAAAAGCACCAAACAACTGTGACCTTCGTCATTTTGGGGGATCTGTTTGTCATGAACAGCAGGGCCTGAGCCCTAAGAGGCCCCAGTTGTTTTCTTCTTCCCTAACAGGCATTGTGTACTTTGCTTTCTCATCCCTGAAGCAAAGCAAAGCAAAGCAGAGAAAACTTGAATGATTCACCAGGTTTCCGTCTTCTGTTTTCATGCTCAGTGTAGATGCATAACTGCAAATTTTATGTGGAAAGAAGTACAGCACAAATTTTGTTCTCATTGTTATAACTAGATAGGCCTGAATCAGGCTGGGGGGTGGGGAGAAATCGACCCCCCACCCACCCATTTCTGTGCCCCAGAGAAGAGTTAGCAACAGCTACACACTGGTTCAGCAGCTCTCTGAACCTACTTCCTATTACTCAACTTGTGACCCCACTCCCCAAACCCTTCCCATGAACAGGCAATAAAATGGAGCACTATTTATTGTTTAGTTGGCTCTACAATTTGATTAGCAGTTTGCACCCATGGGCTTGTTTTTGATTCACACGATTTTCTCTCCAATCTTATACATCAGTCCATGTGGCCCTCATACTTTCTCTTTGGGAAAAATTCAAACCTCATTTTCTCAAACTGCTAAAAATGGAGCCTCCATATGACCCAGCAATCCTACTCCTACATATCTACCCAAAAGACACAAAAACACTGATTAAAAAAGATACCTGCACCCCCATGTTTATTGCTGCTTTAATTATAATAGGAAAGACATGGAATCAACCCAAATGCCCAAAAGTAGATGATTGGATTAAAAGACGTGGTACATATACACAATGGGCTATTACTCAGCAATAAAAAAAAGAAACACATGCTTTTTGCAGCAACATGGATGGAACTGGAAGGGATCAGGCTTAGTGAAATAAGCCAGAAAGAAAAAGAAAAATACTGGATGCTTTCACTCATAACAGGGACTGAGGAGAAAATAGTAATAATAATGAACAACTATATACCAGAGACATTTTACAGGGGTGGAGTGGAGAATGGGATCAAAAAGGTGAGGGGGGGAGAGGAAGTGCTCTGGACTATGGTGATGACAGGGGTGATTTGGTGATGGGAAGCCCACAGGAATTACAATTGAGGTGGAGAAAAGCACGAAAGGATGTAAAAATAAACTATTAAATTATTTTTAAAAATAATAAAGTTGCCACACAGAGGTGACCACTGCAGTCAGTGGTGGCACTACAGGGGAGGGACCATCTTGTGATCTTTCAGGATGATAGACTAGCCCTTTGCACCACAGAAGGTACTCTCTGTACCCTAAGGGTCTTGGTGTACAAATATCCTAGACAGAAATCCAGAACAAAGGCAAGTATAGCCTCTGTTTGAAAGACACAAACACAAGGAGCCATAGACGAGATTTTCTTCTAAAAGATCACTATGCTGGTATTTGTGGGTATAAAGGAAATAGAAACATCAATTTGGGTTTGCATAGTGGGTGGCTTTGATGTCTCTCATGCAAATGGAGATGTTGGGGGAAAGATCAAGTTTTATTTGTCTATTAACTTTGATATGTTATTACATAGCCAAAAGAAGTGTCAAGGTGGCAGCTGCATGTAAAAGTCTGGCAGTCCAGATGAGAAGTAGGATCTAGTAACAAATAGTTGAATGTCGTCAACATAGGAAATGTTTAAACCACAGAACTTGATGCGAGGGTGACGAGGGTCCAAACTGAGATCTGGGGCACCCCAGTTCTTAATAGTTCGATAGAAAATTGAAAGTCAACTAAGAGAGCTAAGAGTTTATAGTCAAGGAGGAGGCGATGAGTTCAGGAAGCCAAGAGATTATCTGTGTCATATGTTAGTGGGAGCTTGTTAGTGGGATGATGAAAATCAAATGTAGACTGGTAGTGTAAATGGATGTAAAACAAAGAATCATAGACAAATACAGACTTTTAAGTGTGTGATTCATTGAAGTAAGTAGACAACTGAAACTGGGAGGTGAAACTTGGCCTTTATAAAAAAAATTAATAGATAGAAATTTTAAAATTGGTTACATAAATTATTATCAAAATTCAACTTTAGTTCTGATACTCATTGTCCCTTTGGTATTTACTGAGGGTAATCATCCCCTCCCCATGGATGAAAATAACGGGACACATTCAAATACTGAGTATTGACTATGTGCGGGGTCTCACATGGAGCAATGGAAGAAAACATTCACAACCTGGGGAAGCCCAGGAATTTGTGTGCTCTTAGGTTACATAAATCCTACAATCATTTTCAATTGATAATAGTCTCCATCAGGAAATTAAAATGTCTAGCCCAGTGTAATTATTGAAACCATCTTGACAACATTAAGCATCATTTTCACCTGAAGTTGCACCAGCCATAGGCTAAAGAGACTGCAATGTTTGGCTTCTCTTTCCTCCTTGCTCACACTCCTGAATTCATCAACTTCTTTCTCCCCCTCATCCCTGACTCAAGAGCACTGATAAACAAGTAAGATGTTTTTAGGTGACTAGATAGCCTTCTAGGATCATGAGTTGTTAAGGACACTTTTTGGGAAGATAATTAAAGGGATTTTCATGCAATCCTCAGAAGTTACTGGCTGTCCTTCGCTTTTGTGGGTCCTTATGTGAATTAGTGGATAATCCTGTTCTGAATTGTCTCTTGTGACTCCATGTTTCATCTCAGGGCAGTGGACTCTAGTTCAAGAAGGGAAAGAATGTTGAAATTTGGGACCCAGTTGGAAAGTGCTGGAGTGGTGAGAGAAACAAGAGTTGGGAGGGAGGGAGGATGCCATGAGCTTGCTGCGTTCAAGGAAAAACAAGAGTCTGAATAATTGTTACAAGTGTTATCTCATTTTTTTTTTCTAAGACAGAATGACACCTCCTAAAGTTATGTGGCTTCTCCAGTTAATTGTTTTTTCTTCAGCTTTTGTTGATTTAGAGAGGAAATGGGACACGTTAGGGCATTATAAGTTATGCCATCTGGTAATGGCATTGTCTGGACAAGGAAATATAAAATAAATATATAAGTGACTCTAGGATTTACATAGCTACTCTACATGGAGATTGATA